TTTTATTCGAATTGCAAAGGCCGCCAATGAAAGCCTTCTGCCTCACATGATGGTAATGCATTTTCTCTTGTTAATTGGAAGGAGATGCATACTGGTTGAAGAGTATGGATTAATTGCATTTTCATTTGTGTTAGAATAATGAAAAAGTTATCTATGTCGAAGCACATTCTAATGCAGTGGCGTAAAATCATCACTTGGTAAGTAAAGTTTCACAGGAAATTTGAAAGTTGTACACTGAAATCTATCATTGCTACCATGTTAAAATAGCTTATAGAGTGGGACCGGGCTACCAAGTAATAATGTTGATTTTAACCAGTCCCAAAAGTTAAAGCCATTGATGTGGAGGAGGATGGGGAAGGCAAAGTTTAACTTCAGAGATAATAGTCGTGGAGTTTCCTGGTGATGCATAAACCACGAATCTCGCGTACTAAACATCGAGGAGTAGAACTAATGCATTATGGTGCAACTTCAATTTATTTGAGAGGGAAGAAATGTTCAGTAATGCATATTAGTATTCTACCTTAAATAAGACCTCCATTATGTATCAAGTTTAGGTAAAGGGCGATAAACAAGTAATTGGCAGTGGTTCCACTTACAAGAAGGTGGTCTTCATGATTTTGCCACAACTATAAATATTTATGCAAAATTCAGTAGATTTGTATGTTAAAAATTATATTCTCTCTCTCTCACAAAGGACATTAAGGCATTGTCCAATACAGAACTTCAGAAAGATCTATTTATGTCAATAAATTAAAAGTAGACAAAGAAGGATATACACAGCTGAAGTGGAAGAAAGAAAAGACCCAATGTAGAGATGTAATATCAAAGAAAAAGCTAATAGAAAAGTATATTTAGTGTCAAGACGGAAATCAGTCAAAGAAATAAAATTAGTGAAAGACTTGGTTATGGCCTGATACTATGCATTGTATTTTAGCTGCTTCTACGAATACAGTATGTGTACCTGGCGTCAATCATCATTGGTGGAGGCAATTATTCCTATATCAACTGCTTGCCTGCTTCGGTCAGTAACTGATTGTTAGTTACAATTTAGTCTTAAAAGAAGAGAGAGAGGTTGTCTGTTGTCTTCATGTTTCGGCAATACGCCTCAGTCCCTTCTCTTTTCTTCACCAGATAAATACAATTTTCTTTAATATTGATGTCCCAATGTCTCAGTAAACCTGTTGATTTATGAACTGTTCTTATTGTACTTCCTATAAATCAATTTTAAGCTCATTGAACATTCAGTTTCTGCCTGTACTAGTGAGGGAAACTGTTTCAATCTGAAAATACTTGCACTATTGTAATATAATGGTGAATTAAACGAATTCGGATAGTTAGTGCTCACTACAAGACTTCAAGTTGTTCACTCATTTTAGTGGTATTATCTCACAGGGGATTGCTGACAAAATGACATATTTGCAAAAGGAAGGCCTTTTGCTTTGGGCAGAGCATAACCTTCTAGCTGAAGCGTGTCTTGTTATGGCATCTGTTGCTGGGTAATTTCTTTAAGAAAGAGATCATTTTTGTGTCACTCCTAGAGTTTGCACATATGTTTACTTCTGCAAAATTCAAACTTGGTGCAGGGTTCAACAGCAACAGGAAGTTTTGGTCTGGTTGCTTGAACCTTTGCACAGGCAATGGATGCAGCCAGACTGGCAAGAAGCATACTTGTCTAACCCAACCACCTTAGTTCGCCTCTGTACTGAGACTCAATTTATGTGGTCAATATTCCACACTGTCACATTCTTTGAGAAGGCACTAAAGAGAAGTGGTTTTAGAAAAGGCAGTATAAGTTCACAAAATATTCCAATAAAAAATTCTCCTGTTACACATCCAATGGCTTCCCATCTTTCGTGGATGCTGCCACCTCTCCTTAGAGTAAATATGCTGCTCCAACAACATTCTATTTCAATTTTCTTTACTATTTATGTTACAAGATAGCATCTAGCTATGACCCTCCTATTCTCTATGATAACATATAGTTATTGCATGTCTTTTATAATCAGCTACTTCGTGCAATCCATTCTCTTTGGTCTCCACCTGTGATTCAAGCCCTCCCTGGAGAAATAAAAGCTGCAATGATTATGAGCGACGTTGAAAGATCCAGTTTTACTGGGGAAGGAAGCCTTAAACAGCCCAAGGGTGCATTAGCTTTCACTGATGGATCTCATTTTGATATCAGTATGGAAGGCTATTCAGAGCCAGCTGAAACTGACCTACGAAATTGGTTGAAAGGAATAAGAGATAGCGGGTATGAATGTTCTTCTGATGTCAACATAGCATGCTGGATATTATAGGTTTTCATTGAATTTTCTATACTGTTTTTTCCCTGATCAAAGTTTATTCATTCATGTAGTATTTCATTGACTTCGTTCTTCACACGCTTTGATACTTAGATACTGCACAACATGGAGATTATTTATTTTTAGAAGCTGAAATTAGTATCTAAATTTTTTAGGGAATAGTTTCTTGCATGTACCCCTTATTATTTTTTTCTCTTCAATCTAATTTCAACAGAGTTGCTTTTTTAAATCCATTGACTCCTGATCTTGCAGAATTAATGGTTATGATAACCTTTGATGTACAACATGTTACGTTTTTTTTCTTGATCGTACTAACGACTGATCATCTCTATGATTGTGTGATATGTAATGCTAATTTCCATGCACTAAAGAAAATTTTCTGTCAACATTTAACATGCTTAGGTGTTCTTCAAATGTTCTCCTTCCTTCTATTTCTCTTCAACTTTATCACTGCAGTCATTTTTGCATTAGATGACTATATTTGCGAATGACATTGGCAGTAGACAGTACTTTCAGCTTTTAAGTTGTTTATTTCTCAATATGAAGGAAGAACATGGTCGTTTTCTTGCAAGCATGTAGACATAATTGGAAAAGTTGTTCCCCAAAGGACGTTTTATGAACCATGGTTGATGTTTATTTTACTCTAATACACTTTTTCTTGCTCCAGCTATAGTGTTTTAGGTTTATCAGCCACAATTGGTGATTCATTTTTCGGAGGCAGAGACTCTCATTCTGTTAGTTCAGCACTGATGGAAAATATACAATACATGGAGTTCAGGCATATAAAGCAGCTTGTTCACTTGGTGCTGATTCCCTTAGTTAGATCCTGTCCTCCAAATGAATGGGAGATGTGGCTGCAAAACCTCCTGCGTCCATTATTTATCCATGCTCAGCAGGCTCTTAGCTGTTCATGGTCTAGTTTTTTACGAGATGGAAAAGCAATGGTTCCAGATCTCCATGGGATAGATGATGGGTCAAACTTGAGTGTGGAATTAATGGAGGAGAAGCTTCTTCGGGGTTTGACTCGTGAGATTTGTTCTCTCCTTGCTGTTCTTGCTTCTCCTGGACTTAATGCTGGGCTTCCTTCATTAGAGCATGCTGGCCAAATCAGCCGCGGGGATGTTTCTTCTCTCAAAGGCTTGGATACCTTTACCTCAAGCTCTGTGGTTGGGTATGGCAATTGCATATTTTTCCTTGGAGGGGTATTTTTTTTCTCTTTACTCTGTACTGTTTAAGATCTTTTCAATTGTAATTTGTTTGCAGATTTACACTGAAGAATAAAAGCCTTGCGCTTCCAGTCCTGCAGATATGTCTGGAATCATTCAGTTGGCCACATGGTGAAGCTGTGACAAGGGTTTCTTCTTTCTGTGGACTAGTAATTCTCCTTGCAATTTCTACTAACGATGTGGAGCTCAGAGAATTTGTATGTAAAGACCTGTTTTCTGCAATTATCCAAGGTTTGACACTTGAGTCAAATGCTATAATAAGTGCTGAATTAGTTGGTCTCTGTCGGGAAATCTTCGTCTACCTGTCTGATAGAGACCCAAAACCCAGGGAGGTCAGTGAAACCTACCCTTATTTCATTTGCTCTATCCGTATTTTTGAAGTTTATAGAAGTAATCTTCTTAAATCTGCTGTTGCAGATTTTGCTCTCTCTTGGCAGTACGCCCCAAGATCTGCTTGCTTTCGAAGAAGCTTTAACAAAGACAAGTAGTCCCAAAGAGCAAAAGCAGCACATGAGAAGTTTATTAGTATTGGCAGCTGGAGACAAGTTAAAAGCTCTCGCGTCTCAGAAAAGCGTGAATGTAATTACAAATGTTACAGGTCAGTGAGTGATCTCTATTATTGTTATAATTTAGTTCTTAAGAAATGTTGATCTTGACATACCTATAATTTTACAGCGAGGCCTCACAATTTGGGTTCTAGTCGTGAAACCAATGTCGATGAAGGAGATTCTATTGGCTTGGCTGCAATTATGTAAAGAGAATCAATCCCCTTTGGCTGCATTTTTGAGAAGAAACAGTGGGTTACTTGGTAGGTGCTGTAGAGCAAGAGATGAAACCTCTTTTTGTGCTCAAAGGTCCAAGGGATCATTTGTAAAGTGACCAACAAAGGTTTTAACATATTTAAACTGTTTTTGATACACTATTAATACATTCATAGTCAAATCTCACTAATTTATGTTTCATCTCAGAAAACCACGGCTTTCATTGTAATTTCAGTTACTGGTATATCGAGTGGGAGCATGTATGCTGAGTTACTGGTATATCGAGTGGGAGCATGTATGCTGTCTTTTAACGGTCGAAAAACTTTGCATCAAAAATAGTTTCCTTAAACAAGTCAGTTTTGTTCCCAATTGGTACTAGCATTCAACTTAAGTAAAACTCATGTTCGAAACTACTATCTGTGAAAGTTGGACCTAATGTGATGTTCTTTCGCATCCTCAACTGTTCAAACTCGAAACTTCCCCTTAAGAGGAATGTTGGTACCAACTTGTTGGAGGGTATCCTTGCACGAGCTGGGTTTGTTTGGGTGCAATATGGGGCGGCAACTGACTTTAAGGCTTGTATAGTTTTGATAAGTCATTTTTCTTAAGGAGCTGCCCCATCCGTACGATACGATACACCAACCTATTTTGTAAACTAGTTATGGTACCAAAGTATGGTACTCATACCCTGACTTGTACACCACCAAACATGGATTTTGGCCCAAAATAGCCGCTTGAAAATTCAATTTAGCATACCATAGAGAATGTCTCAACCACTATTAATCAAGTTACCCTTTGCATATGAATAATACACCCAAATCATCTTATAAAAGGGAAAATGCTCAATTTATAGTACTCCCCTTCGACTTTCAAAAACAATAGTATCAACAACAATTCTGCTTTGATTCTGAGTAGGAGAAAACTAACATAAGAACCTCATCAGACCTTTATACGGACCATGAAGGAACCTGTCATTGACAATAAAGAAAAAATTAGGAACTTCACATGGAATTTATGTTAATTTGTGCCAGTGTGCACATGCATAATCTGCTAAATGGAAAGACATTTACCCAATGGAAAGCTATCACATTTGTAACAGGATATTGGTGTCATTGGTGTTTAACTTACTCAAGAACCAGATAAATGGAAAGAATTTTTCTTAGAAGGTGTTCGGTTTAAAGCAATTCCATCCTTCAAGATCAATAATTCCAAAAAAATAAAGTCTACATTCCCCGTTTGGCCCCCATTTTTTGGAAATGATAATGCGTGGAATAGTATTTTTTTTGAAAAATGAGTGATAGAAAAAGAAAAAAAAGTTTTCAATTTACATATAATATTATTTTATAGAAGATTATGTGATTAAAAACAGGTGAGAGAAAAATAGAATGTAATGGAATGAAAATTAATGGAGACCAAATGGGAGCTAACAAGGTTTAAGAGTTGTGCCACAGAAGTCAAAAGGTGTTGAAAATGTGATACATTTGAGAAACTAAGTGCGCCAAAGTCCAAGGAAGAACTGATATTTGAAACAAAAGCGGATACCTGTGACTGTTCACAACAAAAATTATTTGTCCCCTTTCCAAGGGCTTGAGCTTTTATTGCGATAGTTCAAATGGTATCGGGAACCACAAGAGTGTTTTATTCCCCTTTATGACATATTCCTTCCTAGGGATTATAAAGCATTTATTTGTTTTATCACTAAGAATGCCAAAAGAAATTTCTGTGAGGCTTAGCAGAACTGAAGCAAAGGTCAAAAGGTGTTGAAAATGTGAGATATACATTTGAGAAACTAAGAGCGCCAAAGTCTAAGGAAGAACTGATATTTGAAACAAAAGCGGATACCTGTGACTGTTCACAACAAAAACTATTTGTCCCCTGTCCAAGAGCTTGAGCTTTTATCGCAATAGTTCAAATGGTATCGGGAACCACAAGAGTTTTTTATTCCCCTTTATGACATATTCCTTCCTAGGGATTATAAAGCATTTATTTGTGTTATCACTAAGAATGCCGGCTTAGCAGAGCTGAAGCAAAAAATTTAGTCTAGGTCCTGTTTGGTGGAGGTTAAAATCAGATTTTTAATAGATTTTGATAAAAGTTGATGAAATGTGTGGTTGAAAAGTTGTGGATCTCATAAAATGTGAGGTTTAAAATTAATTATTGATTTTAACTTAGATTAAAATCTGAATTTTAATTCGTACCAAACAAGAGCTAAGTCCAGTTATCTGTAAATACCTCTTCCCTTTCAGACTTAGCCAAGCAGGCTACCCTTTAAAAGGTCTACATAGGATTCTTAAAAATCTGTAATCGAATCATTGATTTTTGGGCCACTATCATATGATTGGTTTGTCCAATTTGTTTCCCACTTACACTCCATGCACGTCATCAAAAAATTAAGATTGTAAATGGCTCTTTGACTACGGTTGCTGGGAAGGGCACAATCCCTCATCAAAAAATGTTACTCTCACTTTCATAGTCTTGTCCTTCCTCTTATGGTATCTGAATGTGTTGCATTTCTTCACATTTGTAAGCACATTATAAGTTAGAAACTAGGTCTTTGATGTGCGTCTTTCTATGTTATTCACCTACATTACAGTTATATACGTTTTCGTTCCATTGAATTGAGTATGATTACCAAGAAGTTAATTCAGGCCTTAATGTTTACCTTGAGTGTAACCAAACAGAATTGGGGGAAGCTATGATGAGTGCAACGTACTTGTTCAACTAAATGCCTTCTAGAGTTTAAAATTCGCTAAAACCTTCACTCTCATGGTCTTGTCCTTCCTCCTATGATATTTGAATGTGTTGCATTTCTTCACATTTGTAAGCACATTATAAGTTAGAAACTAGGTCTTTGAGGTATGTCCATGCCCTTGTTTGGTACCCATTTTTCTCAAAATACATTTTTCTCTCTCTTATTTTCAACCATACACTCTTCAATAAAATAATATTACACGCAAAACTAAAACTTTTCCTTATTTTTTAACCACACATTTTTCAACAATCACCATTACAAAATGCATTTTTACTATGAAAATGAGAAATAAACATGCTCTATCTATGTTATTTTTTGATAGGTGTCTATCTATGTTATTCACCTACACAACATAGTTATATATGTTTTCGTTCCATCAAATTGAGTATGTTTGTGTGATTACATCTACTATGCCAAGAATATCGATGAATCCGACTATTGCAATTGCTCATATTAACTTTTTTTTAGCTTCTAAGGTCTACTTATTAGTTTAAGATCCCTCTCACTAACTGGAATTTAAAAATTAGATCTGTTTCGATCATTATGGGAATGGCTAAGGCTATGAACATATAATTTGAACTTCAAGTCGATTCCATGATTATAAGGTCATTCCATACCAGACCAAACTGGAACAAGGTTATTTACATTCTCAAGGGGTCATTTGGGCGTACATAAATAGATATTATATTTACATATAGATCCTTATATTGTTCCATTCCATTAAAGATTAGGAATAAGTGTATTCATACCAGCTTTTTCCATATCTCTTGTTATTTGTGACCCTATTCACTTCTTCGAGCTTCTATTGAATCAAAATATAGGAAAAACATTCTCTAGATAACTCATATTGAAGCAATTGGATGACCAACTCTGGCTGATCAATAAAAACACCCACCCTTGTCATATACTCCATACATTACACTAGATAGATATCATATTCATGAAATAGGATTTACTTTCCAGATGCCTTGGTAGTGAAATGGTAGACATGCCAGTCTCAAAATCTTGTGCTAAAAATCGTGGATGTTCTTCAAGGTATAATATTGAGACTGCTTTTCTACTGGAAAATATGCTACTATGAAACACAACTTTCTTTGTAAACATGTTTTATTCTACCAAATATCAAATTAGTGTAAATGATCAATCTCAGGCTGTTCTACCTAATTAATCTCTTATAATCAGTTCTCAACTATCTTACTAGTCCTTTCTAATCTTTTATCAGTCCTTCAAGTTCTCACTCAAAATAGACAATATTTTCCAATCTCTAAAGATAGATAGAGAGGCTCAAACGAGTTGTAGGTATATTTATAGATCTTCGGAGAGCCTTACCTCAAAAACTAGCTGTTGAAGTTGGAGACCTCAAATCTATATAAACAACAGACCGAAAACACATATTTTCAATGTGAGATCCAAATCTCATAACTTGCAATGAAAACCATGACACACCACCGAGATCCCGCATCCATTTCAAACTGGCTCTGCACTAGCCCAAGACTAGTCCCAGACGAACACTGCTATGGTTGGATGGTGCCACTCAATTGCAGAAAGACATGGTGCCTGCTCTAATACCATTGTTATAAATCATGGGAGAGTCATACCTCAAAAACTAGTGGTTAAATTTGGAGAGCTCAAGTCTATATATAAACCACTCTCCGAAAGCCCATACTTTCAAGGTGGGATCCAAGTCCCATAATTTGCAGTAGGAACCATGATAGTATAATCTAAACAAAGTAAATAAGGACGGGAAAACTTCTCGTCGCATTGCCAAACTACTAACATGGACTTAGGGATTCAAAGAAACACAAGTAATCTTGATTTTATTTTACCTTCTTATTCTGATATTTATGGTCGTGTACTCATCATCCAATAATTTGTTTGTCTCCTATCATTGATTTCTCAAGCCTTTTATCAGTAATCTATCTCACGTGGATGTTCCTAAATGTACTCAATAAACTTAAGATCCAAAGTGCGGAGAAGCAATTCCTGAAAAGCTGAACGTTTTACGCAAAATCAATACCCAAGAATATGTGAAACTAACACCGCAAAAGAAAACAGTTGGATGTAAGTGGGATTTCACAGAAGCGGCATGCTGACAAACGATGAATAAATGCTAATGGATTCACTCTGGCCAATGAAATAGACTACCAGAAGATAATTGTGCCAATACAAAGATGGATTTTATGCTGGTAATATTGCCCTCAGCAACTAACCTAGAGTAATATTTGCATCAACTGGATGTGAAGAATGCATATCTCCATGAAGTAGAAATATTTGCAGATGTCCTCAAAGTTCTTAGGTAATTTATGGGACAACGGTGTTCAGATTGAAACTATTTCTCTATAATTTAAAGCAATCTCCATTAATTTGAAGAGTTTACAAAATTTGTTCATAAGTCGAATACGCACAAACCACAAAGCAAAGGTTACAATACACTATTCCTCAAACAACTCAAAATTGTAAAGCTACCATTCTAAGTGTAAATTGATGCTGTTATTATGGACAAGGATCTGAAGAAATTTGAAACATCATCTTGCATGTAAATATGAGTATAAAGATCTACAGTGCCTAAGGTATTTCTTATGTATTGAAGTTGTTACATCTCAAATAGGAATCTGTGTCTCAAGAGAACAATATGAATCTTTTGAAAGATGCAGTTATATTGGGTCGCAAGCTAGCTAGAACTCCCAAGGATATGAACTATGAACTTGGGACAGCATTAGAAACGGAGATAATGACAGATATCAAAATCTTATCACCAAGATTATTATTGTGTCACAACAAAGGAGACATTGCCTTAGCAAACTGTAATTTGTTACTTTATGCACTCTACTCATACAGGGCCAAAAAATAATAATAATAATAATAATAAATAAATTAAGACCTTGCGTTGCTTAAAATGCTTTGTAGATTTTGTTTTTTCTCGAAAAATAATCGCATGAGCATGGAAGCATATTGTGATCCAATCTAGGCTGGCTCCATCATAGACAAGTTGCCACACTTTCATTGGTGAAAATATAACAACTTGAATGAGAATTCCGACAATGCTCCACTAAGACCATATCTTGATGCCATATATGGGATTTTACGAATAAGTTTAAAATAACCCAAGAAACCTTATAGCATCCTAGGTTACCAAAAAACAGGCCAATAAGTTTGGACCAGTGACAATTGACAAATCCCAAGAGAGAAACTAATTAAGAAGTGCACACATACTGGGTTACATGTGCCTGAACAAGTCAAGGTGTAAGCCTTGATAAATAGCACTCAAAGCATAAGCTTTGAAGCTCTTAACTAAGGCTTCACATGAGGCGCAACTCAAGGTGGAAGCCTCTGGATCTATTGAAAATGATGAGCCAAACCCGTCATCATACTCATTTTCCATATGATCCTCATCAAAATCCACAGCAGAATCCTTCCTAAGCAGGTATATATATGGGAAAGACTGAAGTTTAGTGGCCTAATAGTTTTTAATGGTTATTGATATGTAATATAGCCAAGACTGTCTTTTCTTCAGAAAAATATTACAAAAGCTTAACTCTGGCATTTAAATAAAGTTATATACTCACAAGCAGGGAGGTTCGATATATCAGCAGAAACTGCACATGGTATTCCCAAGTTTGAGAGTGCTCCCCTTATAATTCCACAAGGAAAGTAAAGATGCATGCCGGTTGCTTGCGCTGCTCTATTTTCAGCCATTGCAGAAGGGTCTTGAATAGAAGCAGATGCATCCCGTGATGGATCAACTGACATGTGTGCTAGCCACCGAAACTGATTGTCTTGCAATACAAAAGTACCCTGCAGCGAAAGATAACCCAACTCATCGTCATCTTCCTTTAATTAATCTAAAATACAGTTCAGATACTCGTACATACTCTATGATTGGTCTTTAAGTTGTCTATTTGCTTCTTGAAGAGTTCAGACCAAAAGTCCTTGCAGATAAACTTGATAGCCTCCAGGTGATCAGTAAACCTTGGCCCATCAATTGTGTATCTGTCAGAAAAGGCATGACATCAGAATGAGCATAAACATCAGAACTTGAAAAGCTGGAAATCGCCAAATTTGGTGAATTGAAACATCAAATATTCAGAGAGAGATCCCAACTTTATTTCTCGTGCAAATTATTTACTTTAAGTACAATGGATAAAGTTATCATTCAACTAAATTCATGTGGCTGCTTCACAGAAAAGATCAGTTTTTACCACCATTCTCATAAGAAACTCAGAAAACATATATTCACAGGAAGTGCCAAACTACCGTAACAGAAGAAACAGAAAGTGAAAAAAATTCAAAAGAACAAAATCTAATAAGGACAAAAGAGGATTAAAAACAGAAGGAATTACTCAAGTCAAGTGCACATTTCTATTGAAAAAAGTTAGAGGATACACAAGCATAGCATCTAGCAATAAACTGAACAGAGTAGCAAAAAAGGATTCATGTCTCCAACTGCAAATTTATAGGGAAAAGGCCTAGATTTGTATATAAAAGCACAATGTGTCTTGTGTATCTAAGAAGAATTGAGATACGTTTCCAAATATTGGGAAGTACTTGTACAGGATGAGAATAATTGCTCTTTTCCTCTTTTATTATTTTTAAGAGGGACAGCAACGAGGAGGTAGATACGACTGAAAAGAATATGCAGCATAGGAAGAGCCCTTGTGTGCCGTGTTACATTTTTGAGGTGATTCATGGTTTATTTCAGTTATGTTTTGTTGTCTGATTTATCTGTAAATATTTACACTTCGAATATAACTTGTACTATATTTATGAGTCAAAGTTTACAATTTTGGTACAATTTCTGAGGTCAAAGATGCCAAACTGTTATCCAGAGCTGCGCAGAAGAACAAGACATATGAAAACAGTGCAATAGTAGAGGCAACTTCAACCAAAAACATACAAACGTGAAATATACAACCTGAGACAGCCCAATGATTGGTTGGACCAAAGTGCTAACGAAAATACCATCATGCATCTTTATTCGTACTGAATCAATATGTATAAACTAGTACAAGAAAGATATGCTGATCTAGTCACTGTTGAGAATGCCAGAAAGATTAGCAGTCTGCATACAACATACAATACATATGCATGTCTTAGTGTGTGACCTAATGTTGAGAATAAAAAATCATCCAGCACCAACAACTATTTCTTTAATCGACAAAAAGCAGATAAAAAACGAAACATTACCAAGATTTGCTGATATATTTTATGGCGTTGAATATTATTAAAGAAAGTCCTCTCTGTAAAGTATGTAATTTTCATTTTGCAACATTCACCTAAACCATTTATCTATAAGTAATCAATAGGAAAGTTAGTATAAACCTTTTAATGATACGACATTATTCCATCACTTGGGTATCAGATTTAATCAATCAAAATACCATTCTCTCATTTAATCATGAAGCATAATGGATTAAATGCTATATAGTAGAGTACAATAAAAAAGTAATGGCAAGAAAAGAAGCTCATAAAAAGAGCTCAAAACGGAGACGGGGTATAATAATACGCAACTCTGATTGGTGGTCATCTTGAGAAGTATACTGCACTTAGAAAACATTACTGCACTTTCAATGCCACAACATGATGATTGCTTGATGCTAGATTATATATGGTGACGGATTTATGAGTGATGGCAGATGTAAGCAACACATAACAATTCAACAACAATGAACCGAATGCTGTAACAAGAATAAAGAAAATGATATGTTGAAACTCTTATTAATTATTGCTTTATGGTATAGGTAGAATAACAAGAAAGTAAGAGCAAAAAGTGTTATGTCAAGATCAAGAATGATTTCTAGAAAAGCATGTTGGGATAGGATACTTGTTTATAATTATTTGCTATCATTTGCTTCTGGTCTTTGCCTTATTCATCCACCCTTCCTCCACCAAAGGAAACAAAGACAAGGTCAACCCTATCTACTGCATAAACCGCAATGAATGGTTCATTGAACAAGTATAAGAACCCAATTGGCCACCTAGTTTTACTTTATTGCATTGGTAGAACAGAATACCTTTTTGTAATTATTTTCTCTCATTTGCTTCTGGTCATTGCCTTACTCACCCACCCTCCCTCCACCAAAACATAGAAGAAAAAGGCCAGCCACCTACCTACTGCATGGATCGGAAAAGTACAAGAACCCAATTCGGCAGCTAGTAAAAAATGCAGTATGCTAGGAGTAGCTTCGCTAAACTACTTACGCTAGTGAAAATTTACTCCACAGATCACAAATGAATGGTTGTAAACAAGTATAAGAAACCGATGTCGGTGCTACAGAATTATCTATACGAAAAAGCACTGAAGTAGTTTGTGTTGTGAAAATGTACCCACTTATTGCGTAACTCCCTCTATGTTTAAAATTTCAGACAGAAACTGGAAGCCCAATAAATCCTAAACTGCCACAGCTCAAGTACCATTTCAAATCAAATTTTATCTGTGGCATATATTAATCAAATGAAAATGGACTGAAATCTAATTAGTAATTGCATAAATCGAAATAGTTGCAATGAAATTTACCTTTCTGAGAGTTGGTGACCGACCTGAAAGCCAATAGCCTCGATCCTTCGGGCAGCAAGCTCGGGCTTGTTGGCATAAAAGCCATTGCAATAGGAAGAGACTATCTCCGTGAGTAGACTCTCCAAACAGCTCTCTGATACCTCCCTTCCCATTTCCGATTTTTGCGTAACAGTGACTCAGAGGGTGATCTTAATTCTTCCGTATGGCAAAACGTTGTTTGGTGGGAGAGCGAGCGAGCGAGCGAGCGAGATATAGATGTTTGGTGAGATTAAAATTAATTTTTTTTTAGTAGAATCTTTGATATGTGCGATCCAAAAGTTATCCGATCTGCGAAGATGGGGTTAATTATATGAATGGTCATTGAACGATATTAGTTTGTTATATTGAACTTAAAAACATAACTCATTGATCACTGAATTTTGTCAAGTATTATTACTTTATAATCAAATTATAAAATATATCTCAATGGTCATCAAATTTTGCACTGTGTGACCCTTCCGTCACTCAAATGGAAAAATTCGTTAAGTCCAACAAACAGCGTCAACTTGAGTGATGAATAGGTAACACAGTGCAAAGTTCGATGACCATTAAGATATATTTTAAAATTCGATTATGAAGTAGTAATATTTGACGAAATTCAGTGACCATTGAGTTACGTTTTTAAGTTTAGTGACTAAGTAGTAACATAGTTCAAAAATCAAATTGACCTCAGTTACATTGACACTATTTGAACATTTTTGTACTTTTATTTAATTTTTTTTCAATTTCTTTTAGTGTTCCAATTGTTTATCTTTCAATCTATTTATACGGAGTTTGAGATACAGTGAACTGATATCAGTTAATCTAAAAATCAAACGTACTTTTTCACCGTGATGGATGAATATTAGCAATAATTCTATTTTTATTTAATTTATATGTCTCTGATTTTCTTTTTCTTCTTTTTTCCCTTCATTATCTTTGATTTCTTTTTTCATAGAGGTCGATTTGAGAAATTTAGCTCGTGTTTGATCTCAATTTCGAGGGATAAAATGAATTTTCGAATAGTGTATTGATGAAAAATGTGTAGTTAAAAAATAAGAAAAAATTTTAAATTTGCGTTAATATTATTTTATTGAAGAATGTGTGGTTGAATGATGTCAAATAATTCAATTTTGAAAATATATCTTAATGATCACTGAACTTTGCCCTATGTCACTACTTAGTCATTGAACTTAAAAACGTAACTCAATGGTCATTGTACTTTACCAAGTATTACTACTTCATAACCGAACTTTAAAATGTATCTCAATGGTCATAGAACTTTGCACTGTGTTACCCATCCGTCACTCAAGTTGACGCCGTTTGTTGGACTTAACGGATTTTTCTATTCGAGTGACGAATAGGTAACACGGTGCAAAATTCGATGATCATTGAGATACATTTTAAAATTTGATTATGAACTAGTAACACTTGGCAAAGTCCAGTGACCATTGAGTTACATTTTTAAGTTCAGTGATTAAGTAGTAACATAGGAAAAAGTTCAATAACCATTCATATAATTAACCTACGAAGATGTGATTTAACGCCTGTTTGGAAAGGATTAAAATCTAATTTTAATTCAACAAAGTCAAACAATTAATATTAACCACATCTTTTATGAGTTCTACAATTTTTCAATCACACATTTCAAAAATTCATATCACAATCTACTAAAAAATCTAATTTTAATTTCCACCAAACACCCTCTAATATTGATTGTTTGACTTTAATTTAGATTAAAATAAAATTTTGATTAATTTTAATCAAAACCAAAATGGGTACAGTCTCAAATAAGGGCAATGTCAAATTTTGGATGTATTTGTTTTTATGTAAAATTAGGCGATGTTTGGTTCTGATTAAAATTTAATTTTAATTTTTATCAAACTTAAACAATCAATATTAACAATATCTTTTATGGGTTCCACAATTCTTCAACCATACATTTCAAAAAATTCTATCACAACTTAAAAATTTTAATTTTAATCCCCACCAAACATCCTTTTAATATTATTATGATATTGCTTTTTCTTGTTCTTTTAGCTCTTGTTTGAGTCAAATTATTTCCATAAGAATTAGTATATTGATAAAAATGTAAAGTTAAAAAATAAAAAAGTTTTGAATTTACGTGTAATATTATTTTATTGAAGAATATGTGATTGAAATGTTATCAAATCATTATTTAAAATGTATTTTTTTTTTAAAAAATAAATGTAGGTCAAACAGGGCCTTAATGTCTCCAAAACTAGGAAAATAGTCTTGTAGTAGCGCATTTTTTTGTTGACACATAAAAATTCAGCCCAAATCGAACAGCCCAGAGAGTAAAGCCCTATTGGAAGATCTCCAAATCAGATAGCCCAAAGAACGAAATCCAATTGAACGAATCAAGGTGAATGCCCAAATAAGGAGTCCAATAGTGCGGTAACGACATCGTCCAAGTTTGCAAGTCGCTCAGAGTCTGAACGAACGGTCGTCCAGAGTCTCGCCCAAATCTTCAAGTCGCCCAAGGTATCAGAAAACACAACGCATTATGATGCAGTTATTGAGGCAGTTGCTAAAGTAACTTTTATCACGTTCCACGACTCAAGGGGTTCAATCGAAAGCGGTTGAACGATGCAAGATAATGGCAGCAGTTAAAAGGACAGTTTCATGACAAATGGCCACTACAAAGAAAGTGGGTAGTTATAGGGCGATCAAGCAGTTTTTTAGAGCAGTTAATCACAAAGGGATCGTCTATGAAGTATAAAAGGGAGAAAGAACTTAGAAGCAAATGACCGAATCCAAAACTCTCGAACAGAGAATATGTAATTTTCATTCCTTTAGCTTTTAGACTTAAACATTTCCTTTTTTGTAACTCGTGTGCTTGCGCCCCTTGGAGGCACGTTGTTTTCCGTTTCCAATTGTAAAGTTCATCGCCAATAAAAAGAACACCCATTTTTGGGACTTTGTCTCAAGAGGTTTCGTCCCTTACACAATCGTCTGATCCTCTTTAATTGTTAGCGAATTAACACGCGCGAAACATTTTGAAATTCAAAATTTCTAATCTTCTCAAGTGAAAAGTAAGATTATTTCATGTTTTGATGCTAATAACTGAAAAGTTATAGACGAGAGTTTATATTTTGGGTTCCTTGACTTGAATTAATAAATTTTTCAAGATTCTCTAATTTTTGAGTGGTGAATTTAAGAAGTGACATTGGTGACTTCCATTCTATAAACAACTAGTGATGGCAATGGGTCGAATCGAGCCAACTTGGCCCTTTAACCCCGAGCTCGGATTGGGCTCGTGGCGAGCTGAGCCGAGCCCAATAATTGCTCGCGAGCTCGTGATTTTCTAAAAGTTTTTAAATTTTTTTTTTTATACATTTTTTGACAAGCCCGCAGCTCGTGATTTTCTAAAAGTTTTTAAATTTTTTTTTTTATACATTTTTTGACAAGCCCGCTCATCAAAAATGGCTCGAGGGCACATGGCCCACGCTCAGCTCATGGGATTGAGCACCCTACTCAGCTCGGGCTCAAATGACGAGCCCCAACCACCTACGAGCCAACGAGCCGCTCGATCCTTTTGACATCCCTATAAACAATCGTGAAAGTACCTTTTGAGGGCATATATTAATGTTCATATGCTTAAAATTTGAATAAAGAATGTAGGAATATAAATAATTCATAGCAATCTCCTTTGACGAAATCTTATCCTTACTGCAATAACTAGTATATTTAATTAGAAAAATCATACCGATTTATTTTGAAGTGCATTTTTAATTTGAGTTTAAGTTGGTGTTTTGGAGAATTTTTGGTCAAGTCAAGGTCAAAAAATGATACATCAGAGGTAAGGATAACGAATTATCAAGCTCTCATATCACCTCGTTCCATCAGACAAATGGAACGGGGATGAAAAATATGGTCTACACTCCTAAATTGTTCCAACACTTATAGTTTACTTTATTTGATTTTGTTATTATATTGTTATCTTTAAATTGTATTTAAACACAAAAAAATGAATAATAAATGAGGACCCTCGATCATATATGAATCTTTACCCTGAAAATGAGAAGTTTTCCACTTAGCTCCTATTTGGCTCTCATTTTCTAAAGTTGAATGATCTGCTTAAATTTTCATTACAGCTTGGGATAACATCCATAGAAATAATGCCAACAGGAAGTCACTCATTTAAATATATAGGGATAACATGATGGAAAACTGAATAATATTTAATTTTAATGAAAATAATTTTAAAAAGAGAAAAAAAGGAGGAATTAGGAGTGAGCTCCTTAATCTTTAAATAGAGGTGCCATTGATACAATGAAGAACTAGAAGTTGTAGCAGCTAATCCTTTTATAATAAAGAGAGGTGAGCTCAAATAATTGTCTAAGTGGCATAATGCATGGTCACATTTGACTAACAATTGCTTGGTTTTTCGTCACGTATTGCAGGATGCTATTGAGTCAGGACGAATTACGTTCGACGATAAGAGAAAGATGGCAGTGGACGAGAATCCTTTCCCACAGCCACTTGGGGTAAACATGGTAACATCTGGATTCAAAAACAAGTTACCAAAATTCAAGTTAGTCATAGATGACGGAGAAGAAGATCCTAAACCATATCCCAGTGTCTTTGAACGTATTAAAGGAAAAGAACCAAAAAAGGACGAAAACGTCCTGTGTGCAAGGTGTAAAGTGCAAGATGTAAAAGGGAAGTAAATGGAAACACGGAGAAACCAGAGACATGGCAGCATCCTCGTCGCCCTGTTTTCTTCCCAAACGTTCAGCCTGGTAGAGGACGAGGTACATCATTCTATAGAGGACCGCCTTTTGAAAGGCAGTTCAGACCAACAGATGTTGGAAGAACATTTAGGCCGCAACCTCGCCGGCCAAATGTATGGCATTCATTCCAGTACACTGCAGGAAGAGCAATACCCTTCGATGAGATGACCAGGACTCAACAAAGGCGTTTCCAGCGAAACTACGGACGAATGATGAGGCAGCAACAAGGAATGCCACACCCTAAAGCACCTCTACTACTCAAGGTAGCCAATCAAAACGTCCTAAAGAGTAATAAAGAAACTGGTACAGATGAATCAATGAAAGAATTGCCAGCTAATAGATGTTGGAAGAACATTTAAGCCCCAACCTCGCCAGCCAAATGTATGGCATTCATTCCAGTACACTGCAGGAAGAGCAATACCCTTCGATGAGATGACCAGGACTCAACAAAGGCGTTTCCAGCGAAACTACGGACGGATGATGAGGCAGCAACAAGGAATGCCACACCCTAAAGTATCTTTACTACTCAAGGTAGCCAATCAAAACGTCCTAAAG